ACAAAAGAAATTACGACTAAGACCAAACACTTTAGATGATAATGTATTAAAATCTTGCAAAATCAATTATTCTGTTAGAAATTGCTTGCATAATGATAACTATCTAAATTAATTTTTAGAGGATTAAAAACATTTTCAAATCAATGTTAAAAAGAAAGATAATCTTAAAATTATATTTTCTCTTAGTCATAAGTTCTTTTGTGAAACAGACCCAAGACGTCTTTTGAGCATTATTTGCCCTATTTCAAAGAATGTCTAAGAAGTTTTTCCTGCAAATATGCCCTTGGTTTGAAATATCCAGAGACGTTATTGTCCATTGAAGAATCAGGTCTCAATTATCTGATCATGAATATGTGTTACAAAATTTAATTACATCTTATCAATTATTAAATGCTTTTTTCACCACAGCTATTTCTTTTTTTTGTAAAATTGTAACCCAGTGATCATTCCTGAATAACGATGAAATTTTTTTTAGGTAACATGTATCTACATGTATGTGATCCGATACTGTCGAACTTGAAAAATTGATTGTGTGTTGAATGTGTAATTTTATTTTAACTGCATTCCTAATTCTGATATATTGTATTTATACCAAATTGTAAACTATGCCCAACTGTAATTTTAGATTCTTTTCTGCTGACAAAAGCATAATTCAGTTCATTTTATAGCATATTTGTTTTTACAAGCAACAACTGAGTAAGCATTTCTAATGCAGTAATTAAATCTGTCAGGACTCCTCGCCCGTTGGGATGGGAGTGCATGTGGGTCGCTTAGTCTCTGCTACCCAGAATAAAAAAGCTATTCCCATTGCTGAGTTGACATTTGAAGGTCATGATTTTTTTTCGTTTGATCATTCATTCATTCACTTCATTGTCAATATGGTTCATACAACATGAACTAGTTTCTGACTAATTGTAACATTTATTCTGAAATCAGGGAGTTTCCAAGTGTCTGAGGGATCACAGACATCAGTTATAGCTGGTGCATACAGAAATGAGAGAGGGAAGGAGGGGGAACTGTGTTCAATGACAGGAATATTTTTTCCAACTGCCATGAATACAGACCCTAAAATGTGCTACTACCCCAAACGCACGCTACACGGTTTGCACGAAACGCTACACGGTTTGCAAGAAACGAAAAGTGCACGAATGTCACACCCTTTTTTGGGGGTAGTAGCATGTCTCAGGGTCTGTACATCTAAGCTTCTGTAGTGCTTCTTCCAATTAACCGATACCACACCCGCCCCCGCCCCGAAGAGGGAGATATGTAAATAGTTACACAAAATGAGAAATAACAAACAATAAATAGAGATACAGAAAAAGACTGACCTTCAAATATCAACAAAGAGGGTAGCTTGCACTTTAATAGTAAAACCCCAACAAAAAAACCCAAAAAAAACCAAAAAAAAAAAACCCAAAAACAAAACAAAACAAAACAAATAGATAAATAAATAAATAACCGGTTATTTCAGTAATTATACATTATAATAATTCAATCCTTAGTGAAGTTGTTTGCTATCTATCCGTTTGATATTAAAGCTGCCAACACCTCTTACCAGGTTTGTCTGTTTGGGATACACAGGACGAAAGACCATCTTTAAGCAATCGCTTAATGGTGGCTTAATTGTAGCTTAATGGTGGCTTATAGAAGTTAATTCCTTTAAGCCACCATTAAGCCACCATTAAGCTGCAGCTTCTAGGTGCTTAATGTCCAAACTTCATTAAGTTACCATTAAGCCGCCTTTAAGCTACAGCTTAATGGTGGCTTAATGTCCAAACTTAATTAAACCACCTTAACGCATCCAGTATCAAGTCTTTAAACTAACTTGTTAAGTTTGAAGTTGTTTCAGTATCATTTACGCAAATACTTATTCAATTCATAATTTTTTTCTCGCTATTTCTAACATTTTTGTCAATGCGTATAAACTCGGGAAATGAGAACAGCTTCACCAAATACCTTAAAATTTTCGCTCCCTAAAATCAGTTTGTTTGAATACTTGTTTTAAAATTATTTTTATCCATAAATACATAATATATATAATTTTTTTAAAAATCACATATTTTTCTTTCGTGTTTGGAGACCCATGTTCCGCCGCCGAGTTCATAGGAAATGTTGCAATTAGAGTCATTTTCTTCTGGAATATCTCTAAGTCTCTTAATTTTTCTTTGGGTAGAGAAATGTTTAAGATAGAAAAAAAATATAGGTATAGATTATATTGCCAATCATTGAATTACTTCATGAATAATTTGAATTAATTCGTGGTTAAGTGCCTTTATTTTTTCCTTTCTTTTAAAATACTGCAGAAGTAAGAATTTATTTAAAATAATGTAGATGTAAGAATTGATCAAAATTTAGTCCGTCTTCAATGATTGTTATTTCAAAATCAATTTTCAGAAGAACAGCCGATCAGATTAAACAGGGCATCCGACCAGATTTATACACATTGAGAAGCGGGGTAAAATAATCAGTGTACAGTATATAGTTAGACAATAGATCTTAATTAGGTGTCCCCACCAGTCCCTGGTCAATTAACGGGAAACTATACACGGGAACGTACAGTGACAGGTTTTGATGATATATTATTTTTACAAAACTTAAAATTTACGCAAGCATATAACAAATTAGAAATTATGATTGTACACAAAAAGACAATTATTTTGATACCCATAATGATATAAAAAGAATTAAAACTGGAGATGATGTGTTACAAAAATATTTTATAACTTAATTGTTACGCAAAGATTGTCAAAAATCGTAAATATCCGCAACATATTTATAAGAACTATAATCTGGCTTTTTTCCCATCGTTCTCTTTCGATGATATATTCCTTTTTAATAACAAAATTTTGTTATATCTGTTGAATTTCAATCTTTTCATGCTTATAAATCTGCGAATAACAGAACGAGGAATTCAGTTACTTAAAATCAAAAAGTTGTTTCACACCATCACACCGAATTCCGGTCCACGGTTAAAAAATATTAACGTAAAATTTTCTTTTTTTTTAAATATATATAATTATTTGTGTTATTGATTAATAAATATAAACATCAGAAAAAAATACATGAACAGGTATTTGTAACCATTTCAAACAAGATTTGTTAAAAATAAAGGTTTTATATTTCACATCAATTTCAACAGCCACGATAGCTCAGTGGTTAAAGCGTTCGCCCTCCAATTCAAAGGTCGTGGGATCGAATCCTGTTGGGATTGATTTTTTTTTTTTTTTTTTTTTTTTATTTTGTTTCTTTTACATTATTTTCGCCGAATTAACAAACGAATAAACTCGACATTTATAATTTTTGTGAAGAAATCGTTATAAAATTAATATTTAACCCATAAAAGCAGTTTTATCGACTGCGTAATGGTGACTTAATGGTGGCTTAAAGGTCATTTAATGGTAGCTTAATGGAGTTTGGACATTAAGCACCTATAAGTCTAGCTTAATGGTGGCTTAATGGTGACTTAATGATTGTCTAGAAGCTACCATTAAGCACCTATAAGCCACCATTAAGCCACGATTAAGCTACCTTTAAGCATCCATTAAGGACATTGAAATGGCTTAATGGTAACTTAATGGTGGTGTATTTATTACTTAAATGTAGCTTAAAGGTGCTTAATGGTGACTTAAAGACAACCATTAAACCATCATTAAGGACCTATAAGCCACCATTAAGCCAAACTTAAAGGAAGTGTTTCATCTTGTGATAGCACTGCAGTGTCATATTACCTAGCCTTTGTTATGAAAAACAATTCTAGGTGATTTTTTTTTAACTTTATGTACAAACTCCACTCCATGACTCCACTCCACTCCATTCCACTCCATGACTCCACAAAACTCCACTCCACTCCACTCCACTCAGCTTTTTACCCAAGCCAAATAAATGAAATCTAGCATTATTACTTCCAACCTATAAATAGTGAATTCAACATGTTTCAAAAATAATATTTTATTTAAAAAAGGGGTTGAAATCGCACCTAAAACACCCCACTTTTCTACAGCCTTGCTAAAAGCCTTGTTTACATTGTATAAATAGACTTTACTCAAGATACAGGTATATGTTCTTATCTATCACTATATAAACATCTATTTATATCACAGGGGAGTTACCAGACTGAGGCTAAATGAATTGCCAGTCTTCATGAAATGCCTTAAAATAAAATATTACGATAAAAATTTCAAAATTCGTCACAATATGTTACCATATAAGTAAGGGAAATTCGTCTTTACTTTCACAGTATGAGAGCCGTAAGGATAAACAAATCTTATAACTTTTTGTCTTATATTTTTGAAACCGGTGACTAATAAATAATAGAAACTATTCTAAAAACTTTTCTACGTCTATAATTCATTATTCATTTATGTTAGATAAATACATAATTCGGACAGTTTTATGTATTTCTAATGTTCTTTGAAATAACTATTTTTTTTAATAATGGTATGGTGCAATATTTAAAATGCTTAAGTGCTTTTATTTGATTTTTTAATGGAATAAAACCTGTTTTGTAGTAAAAAGAAAAATGACCAAAACAACCGGTATGCAGCCTTTGAGACGATGTTTATCGGAAAGCAATGGACAGGATCAACGCCAAAAAGAGAGAATAAGGAGTAAAAGTCTTCAGTTTGAACCTACATTTAGCATAGCAACAAAAAACAAAGAAAAAGTTGGAACAGAAAAGATTTTAGTAGATTTTCATACTTATTTAATACTAGCAATTGCATGTCTCGTACTGGATGCTGCAGAGCTTAGAAAATGCACATTGCATGCTAACTGCAAGAATAACAAGAAAAATAGCCATCAAAAAAGCAAAGATCAGGAGGCACAAACAATCAGTGTTAAGAGTTTAATGAATGATTGTCTTAATGAATTAGACCAGGATGATTCAGAAAAACCTTTGAAAAATATACAGGGATATCATCTAGCAAACACACGTGTTTCATTGCAGAAATTATTTCCATTTTTGTATGAAGATTACTCCAACTGTGTAAATTTGGTGCATAGAACAATTATTAAAGCGTTCCCTCTCTTCGACTGCTCTAGCAATTTTGAAGAGTACGTTCAAAAAGAATTAAATTCAGCTCAATTTATCAATCCTCTCAATTCAGCACCATTAGAAAGAAATCCACATTCAATGAATATGGAAATGATTCGTATTAGCACCTTTAGTAATTTCCCACAGACAACTTCTGTGTCTACTGTAAGACTTGCCAAAGAGGGTTTTTATTACACTGGCGAAGGAGACAATGTCGCCTGTTTTGCATGTGGCTTGCATCGAGATGGATGGAGAGCAGCTGATGATCCCAGAGAGATTCACATTCAATTGTCGCCGAATTGTCCATTTCTAAACTCTTGTCAATCTGAAAATGTTCCTATACAAGAAGGAGAGAATATTGGAAGCAGCCAAATGGAAATACAACCACGAGGAGATAGTGGCGAATCGACTTCGGGACACGTCATTCAAACAGGAGAAGGAAACATTTTGCAGAACTCAACACTGTCAATGTCAAACAATGAAATTAGGCTAAGAGAAAATACAGGTTACTCAGTGCCGACATATTCTGCTTCCAACTCTAGTCAACAAGAAGACGAGTTCAACCTCAAATCTTTAGAGAGACAGGAGAAGGAAAGACCTCATCAAAGATCTAGAGCATTACAAGAAAAAATCAACGTCTTTCTGAGAAGCTTAGACCCACTTGGAATTAATTTTGACCGTCCAAAGTACCCTGCTTATGCAGTTGTCGCAACAAGAGTGAGTTCGTTTAATGACTGGCCATCAAGTATAACACAAACTCCACGTGATCTCGCTTTGGCAGGTTTTCTATACGTGGGGTACGGAGATTACACCCGCTGTTTCTTCTGTGGTGGTGGATTATGTAATTGGGAACCAGGGGATGACCCCTGGATTGAACATGCCAGATGGTTTCCAAAGTGTGCTTTCTTGAGACAGAACAAAGGAGACGAATTTGTTGCACTAGTTCAAATTGAACATGATGAAATGGTAAGTGGTAATGAAAACAACTATATAGCCAAAAATAAGACACTAAATACTGTAAATGTATTATATTTGGCGTGTACAATATTTGGCAGAAATTGATTTTTGAACAAATTAGCGTAGATTTGATTTAGTGCAAAAATTTCTTAATATTCTTATTTATGAATATATGTGCAAGGCATTTAGCTTTGTATTTGAATTAGCGGAAGTTTACTTTCCGCGAAAGGTGCTAATAAGAATACACAGCTAAATGTTATTCGTTTATAGTAGTTTTACCATATAAATGTATTTAAATGCAATGGAAACTTAAGATAATGTTTATTTTGAGAGTTATTTATATATCAAAAATTAATGAATAAATGGAATTTTACAGGAGGCATCAGAGGAGGCCAAGAACGCAGAAGAGGGTGCAACATCCACTAAATGTAGAAGCAACAATAAATCAACTGGAACAGAAGAAAAGAACACAACAGCATCTGACATTTTCGATTTAGTATCTGTTCAGAGTGTTCTTGAAATGGGTTACACCCGACAGGCTGTGAAGGAAGCATTTGATCTCCTGAGAATGACAAAACGTATTTAAACTTCCATCTGAAACAATGCAATAGATTTCAAAAAAAAAATTATTAAAACTTTAAAACAATCGTAACAGGGTTTATTGTTTTAATCTCATTGACTCTTTGTTCGTCTTGTTTCAACTGTGTTGAATTTATATTTCCAGATGTAGAAGAAATCTCAGGAGAAGACTTGATAGACGTCATTCTGTCTAAGGAGGAAAACAGTACAAGACCAGATATCCAATCTGCTACTCACAACTCTGAACCCAAACTCTTGGAAGGAAATGACACAGGATATACAAATGAATCCACTAAAAAGGAAGACAATTCAAATATAGGTTCCACGAGCGGTAATCAATAATAACAACCTCAATGTCTTTGATCATCTATGCATAATTTAATGAGGAAGATTAACAGATATAATGAAAATAAAAGTATGATACTGAACAAACCACGGTAAATTTTTGATTTCAAAAATGATTCATATGGGTGATTTTTTTTTAACTTTAAAAATTGTATAGGGGCATAACTTTTTAACAAAATTTGAAAATTAAATTGTGTAACTGTTGATTATGTTCAGGTGCAAAAGATTCTCCATCTACGATTGGTTCTCTCGACTCCTCGAACAATTCCTTGTCATCCTTTTCAATAGAAGGTATGTTTACTTTAATCATGGAATATATTCACTCATATTTGTTTATTCCAATTAAATTGCTTACCTTTCTTTAAAAAATCTTATTGCTGGGTTCACTCTTATAATAATTGATTTGAAATTTTAATTTCAGACACCAAGTCTTTGATTGAAGAAAACAGGAAACTAAAAGATCTCCGACTTTGTAAAATCTGTCTTGAGAACGACGCATCTATCGCCATGTTACCTTGTGGTCATCTCTGCTGTTGTCCAGACTGTGCCCCGGCTATGAGGAAATGTCCAATATGTCGACAGTTTGTGAAAGGGACGGTGAGAACATGGCTGGTGTAGAGAGGTCTGAGTAAAACAAAGATGACTGTGATACTTTAAACATCATTTTTGAAGTCTTTAAAAAAAATTTACATGGTAAATAATTGTGAATTTCCATTGATTATAATTATGTTATTTCTGCAATAAAAGCTTTCAGTTTAATGCATATTAAGCTTTTTTTCTATTTACAGTAAAACACACTTATACCAAACACGATTATAATGAATTAAAAACTTACATCGAAGTGATTTTTATTCCCCCTGACTTTAAAATATATTGTAAACTTAACAGTTACAAAGAATTATGCTGATAACAAAGCAAAATATTACGTCCCTTGTACTTCCTTATAAGCGTTTTTACTGTATTTAGTGTTAGATTTTACATATTACATGTAATGTCTGAATATGTTACTGCATGTCATTCAACTCGATCATTTTTTATTTTAAAAATCATTAAAAAAGACACTGATTAGTTGTATCCTTAATGTGGAATAAACAAATATTCTTTTGCTAGATAATGCTTAAACTACATATTCACTATATTGTAGGCTTTGCCATCACAAATGACCTTTAAATCATAACCTTTAAAGAAGCTTCACTTTTTTGTACAAACTATTTAAAACTGAAATATATGTATTTTACTTCACGAAGTAATATGTTATGTACTAATTTAAGATTTTGAATTTGACAAGTCTGAAAAAAGTTTTGTCCTTATATAATATGGAATATGTTGTGTTTCATCGAGAATAGAGGAATTAGAAATCTATCGTTAGAATAACGTTTCAATGTTGCATAAGGGTGATCTCTGTTGTTTAAAACTGTGTTCAACCTATGAAGAAGTATCCTGATTGCCAAGGGACATGAGAATTTTGCTATTGCAACAAAAATACAACGACATTTGTATTTCGTGTTTAATTTTCATTAATAAAGCCAACTTAATCGAGGCGTTAAATCAATGACTCAGTTTCAGTATTATTTTATATTTGTCTTAATGGTGAAAATTGAGTCCAGTGTGATAATATTTCATTATATATCTTTGACTAAAAATTGTGCTTCCCCCCCCCCAAAAAAAAAAAAAAAAATTGCAATTGCATATGTTAGCTGTGATCATTAATATAGAAAACTAATATTGAAAAAAAGTATCTTAAATTAATGAGTTAAAAGTATCTTTTCATGTTATCCTTTAATTTTAAAAAGTTATTTTAATTTTACTTACAAGTTTTCATTAATTAATTGGCACATGTATATAACTATGATTTTCGCAGGGGTAATAAGGAAGCATACAAAATATTCTACCTTGACTTAATCAGTGCTACATTATGACGTCATAGTAGGCGAGATGACGTCAATTTTAGAATACAAGTTTTCGTAATATTCGTATTTAGAGATGTAATTTAACTCTAGAAAATGAATAGAAACGTGTAAACATTAACAAAAATAAAATGTTTTTATTTTTTAATGCTGTATCTGTCATTTTGATTAAAATCTACCACCGGTGACGTCATATGTGTACTTCAAGTAACTTGGGAATTGATCATGTCGTGTAAAGAGAATTTGGCTAAGACGGCATGTACAAAGATACGTAAAATGGAGTTTAAAAGCAAATATCCTGAATATTTTGTGAAATTCATATGGAGTTCAGTTACTGAAACAGGTATGCTAATTTATTTTCATCGATTGTATTTTCTTCGAAGACGGTCAGCTATATACGTATCCCGGTCGGCCTTTCCTCTGTCATTTGTGACAAAAATAATGCAGCAGAACAACAATAAGCTGTATATTTCAAAACATAATATTTGTACAGATGGAAAGTTTGCCTCCTAAAATACTTGGAAAGTGCTGCTAGAATCCCGAGTTAAGCATGGTTTTACGAAAAATCTCGGTTTATATGTATAAATTTCAAAACATCGGGTAAGGTTTCGTGCGAATGTGTGGAATTATTATTTTACTGACGGGACAGTGGGATTCTAGCAGCACTTTTTAGGCAAAATAGATGTTTTCCAACTATATTATTTACTCAAAGAAATTATTACACTTCGGGGTATTGTTGTTCTGTTAGCTTTTTTACTAAGGAAAATTTCGCTATTAATAGAAGTCACGTGATGCCGTGGTGGTGGTGCACGTCTTTGCGTTAGACACTCTTTTATCTTTATGCGATAGATAATAATAGTTTACATTTATCAGCGGTTTTGGTAAATTATCAAACTTAATTTTCTTTAAAAAGTCTAAATTTCCAGAGAATTGACTTATATGCTTCCTTAACATACCCGCGTTCTGAAACAAAATCTATTGCTGCAAAATAATTCTGAAATGTAAATTTGAAAATTGATATGCATTTCAAAATTCCCATGTGAAGGTTTTTTTCTTCAGAAGTTGACGACGTGCCTTTTCACACTAGTTGTTTAAATCATACCTGGGTTCAAAATATGAAACAAATATATTGGTTTGTTAAACAAATGATCTAGAATTTGACATTAAATTTTGCAATAGTACGAATCAAGGTCATTTAATAAGAACATTTACTTACTGATCCGACAATCTATCTTAAAATCAGTACTTTTGACAATGGGTTATCATGTTCACAACGTTCTGTACCATTGTCAGTATCCCATGCTATAGTTTAAACACCTTAAACATACTTGCTATGACTTACGGTGTACATTTTCACTCCATATAAAGAGCAAAAAAATCTTAAAAGCAAAAAGAATGAATTGCTAAATTCTGTTTACATTGAAATACAATTAACACTGGTATGACTCTGTGAGGCAGCATAGTTGATGATTTTTAAGTATATTCTGTTTACAGTGTAAAATGATTTACATTAGTATGACTGTCTGAGGCAGCATTGTCGATGATTTTTTTTATGTTCTAGCTGTTTACAGAATGACTGTTTGAGGCAGCATAGTTGATGGATATTTATTATATTCTGTTAACAGTGTTAAATAATTTACATTTGTATGACAGTCTGACGCACCATAGTCGATGATTTTTTATGTTCTGTTTATGGTATAAAACAATTAACATCAGTATGACTGTCTGAGATGGCATAGTTGATGACCTTGTATTATATCCTCTTTAAAGTGTTAAACAGTTTCCATCATTACAATGGTCTGGGGTGGTATTGTTGATGTTTTTCAATCATATTGCGTTTACAGAGTAAAACAATTACAGTTGTATGGGGCATTTTACAAAAGTATGACTGTCACCATAGTTGATGACATAATATTATATTCTGTTTTATAGTAAAGTTTCATCAATATTTGCTGACACTTTACTATACTCTGTTTACAGTGTAGGTTATCGACAAGTTTGTGGCGTGTTTGTTTTCCCATCTTTTTTGCCAATTCTTCTAGTCATATTTTTTACCTTATGTATATTAATATCCTTATAAGGGATATATTGAAATATGGGCATGTGTAATTTTTGTACATATTTGGTTAATTTGTTTGGCACTCTAATAAATGCCCATTTACGACAAATAGTTTGCTGTTATATTTGCAAAAAAAAAAAAAAAAAATACCGGTGAAGGGCTTCAAATTTTGACATTTACTCGGCACTCAGGGCCATTGAGCAGTGAGGGATCTTTATCGTGACACGGGGCCTCAGTTTTTAATGTCTCATCCGAAGGACCCGCAACTTTCACTTCAAAGTGCCGAGCGCATTGCGAAGGAACAGTAGCTACCAATTTTTTTTAAATCGACTTAGGAAAGTCGCAGCCGAGATTCGAGCTAACGACCTCCCGATCACGGAGCGAGTGCTCTACCAACTGAGCTAAGGTGATGGAGAAAATAAATTATATTGAGGGAAGTTGAACACGATGGTATAAAGTTAACTATAGTAAATTTTTGTAAGGGTAACAATGCTTCTTTTGAACTGGTAGGGATACGGAGAATTTTAAGATCTGCTTCACGATGAGGTCACCAGAATCTCTTGCGGGGGCTATTCAGTTTCAGGTACATATCTTCCTACAGAAATACAACAATGGAGCGAATATGGCGTTGTTTATACGGGAAAAGTACTGCAAGTAATAGTTACCCCATATGATATTGTTGGTTATGTGCAGATACCCGGTGGATGTGGTCATAATGACACGAAGGAGCGTAGTTGCCGAGTCGTCACTATGACCACGGCCATCGTATCTGCACATAATCAACAATATTATATGAGGTAAGTTACTTGTACAATAGTATAGAAAAAACGATTATATCTAAGGATAAATTTTGACTGACTTGTGTTTTTGAAAAATTGTGCTTATTTTCAATGAGAAGAAGGAATGTTGTATGTGGACGGTAAAATCGTTGATATCAAATTTCTTCCAATTGTTGACTTAAAAAAGGCTCTTATATATATTGACAATATATTTGTTCTTATCGTAGATGATGACGATGGTGATGGACTTAACGTTGTGATTCTGTCTTTGTACATGTTGAATTGATTTTATATGATCGTAAATATAAATAATATAAATCTATTTCAAATCTATCTTGAATTCAATTAATTTCCTTTTTTACCTGTTCTCATGGTGGCATATAGGGATTTCTATTTTTCCAGTAAGGAGATGGGCGAACATAGCGTGCAGAAAGCCTATAGCTTCAGAAATATAAAAATCATGTTCAGTTTGTGAATTTTGTACTTAGAGTTCTCATTATTGAAATTTATGAAATTATGATAAACAAAACTTTTCTGAAGAAAATTTTCTTGGCAAAATTTATTCTTTTATTAAAAAAATTAATGTGGTGTTCGTGGGGTTCGAACCCTAGCAATAAAAATCCTAAGTATCATTTTCTTTCGAGACTAGCACGCTAACCACTAGACTACACAAGTCCTGATGAAGAGTGGCATTTAAATCATGTTTGTGATTTGACCCTTGACTTAATGGACTTCAAGTATTTCTCGAAAAGATGCGAATGTTATGTCATAAAAGTATATTTTTAAGGTATAGTGGGTCATTGCTCCATATTTTTGGTAATCAAAAAATGTATATTTTTATGCAAACTTTGAGGATTAACTTTCAAAAAGGTGGAGCGAAGACCCACTCATATCGAAAAAT